GGGGTCTAATTAAACTTACAAGCTTTTGCACAGCAAAGGAAACAGTAAGCAAAACAAAACGGCAACCTATGAAATGGGAGAATATATTTGCAATAAATGAGACTGACAAGGGCTTAACTCCCAGAATACATAAACAGCTTTTACACTTGATAAGAAAGAAAAATAAACAATTCAATCCAAAAATGAGCAGAAGTGCTAAAGAAACATTTCTCCAATGAAAACATAGAAGTGGCCAATAGGCACATGAAAAAATGCTCAATATCATTATCAGAGAAATGCAAATCAAAACTATAATCAAGTATCACCTCATACCAGTCAGAATAGCCATCATTCAGAAGTTCACAAGCAATAAATGCTGGAGAGGCTGTGGAGAAAATGGAACCCTCCTACACTGTGCGGGGAATGCAGTTTGGTGGAGCCATTGTGGAAAACAGTATGGAGATTCACCAAAAGACAAAAAAATTGACTTCCCCTATGACCCAGCAATCCCACTCCTGGGCATATATCCAGAAGGAACCCTAATTCAAAAAGACACCTTCCTCCAAATGTTCACAGGAACACTATTTACAATAGCCAAGACATGGTAACAACCTAAATGTCCACTGACAGATGACTGGATAAAGAGGTTGCACTATATTTATACCATAGACTACTACACATGCATAAAAAATAATAAAATAATGCCATTTGCAGCAACATGAATGGACCTGGAGAATGTCATTCTAAGAGAAGTAAGCCAGAAAGAGAAAGAAAAATACCATATGAGATGGTGGAATCTAAAACAAAACAAAACAAAACAAAAAAAGAGAAACTTATCTACAGAACAGAAACAGGCACAGAGACATAGAAAGCAAACTATGGTTACCAGAGGGGAGACGGTGTGGGAAGGGATAAATTGCGGGTTCAAGATTTGCAGATACTGTCTATGTATAGAATAAACAGCAAGTTTATACTGTATAGTACAGGGAAATATGTTTAATATCTTATAGTAACTTATGTTGAAAAAGAATATGAAAATGAAAACATGTATATTCCTATATAAATGAAGTGTTGTGCTGTAAACAAGAAACTGATGCAACATTATAAACTGACTAGACTTCAATGAAACTATTTTTAAATAGACCAAAAACAAAAAAAAAGAAAGAAAGAAAAGAATATTATTAAACCAAAAGAATAAGTTACTGTTTCAGGCTACAACATGGATGTACCTTAAAAAAGTATGCTGAAATAAGCCAGACACAAAAGGACAAATACTGCCCTTTAAGGTGAAGTGTATCTAAGTGTTCACTGTACTACTCCTGTAAATTTTCCGGAGGTTTGAAGTCTATCAAATTAAAAATATAGTGTATTATTCATTAAAAACATAAAACGATTCCTTACAGGAGGGCTTTAATAATAAATGAAGAAATGCATGTAAAGCTCCTGGAACAAAACTTTGTATGTCCACAGTCACTGCTGTCACTGCCACTCAGAGGGTGGTGACAGCGCTGATGATAACTGCCTCCACTCACTCCCCTGCAGACAGGAGTGAGGGCCTGGGCTCAGGCAGTCAGGGTGACCATGAACCTGGGTCAGACAGAGCCACGCCCCAGACTCTGTGTTACCCAACTTTCTTATACAAACTGCTACATGTAACGTAAACACGCTAGAGGGATGTATCTTACAAC